CCCATCTTGCTCATTTGAAATGGTCATTTTTGCTTGACAAAACAAAGCAAATGAACAGTAAGAATTACATGGGTGAACCAACTGGCACCCATAACTGCCTAATACCGACCTCCTGGACCAACTGAAGCTTCCAGCTAGGGCCGTCCCATGGACAGCAGTCTATCCAAGAGATGACCAAGGAGGGACAGCAAGCAAGATGCCTGCTTCCGGGGTGGAGATGAGCAAAGGCCTAATACAAGTCCAGCCCCCGACAAAAAAAAATTATGAATTCATTTTCATACTCATTGGGGAAGCATGGCCCCTCCCTTTAGAATTCAAAACGGACCTTCTCTGAATTTGGAAGGTTTTAAATACACCGAGCTGCAAGTTAGTCCTCAACTTACGACCGCAATTGGCATCGCTAAGCGATGTGAAGTGAGTCGCTCGCAATTTGACGGCCTTTTTCGTTGTGGTTGTTCAAGCGAATCGCACGGTTTGGAAACAAAACCCCCGTTTCCTCCCACTGACTTTAAGCCTCTTCTTCAAAGCTGGCTGGGAAAAGTTGCAAAGAGCGATCGTGTGACCTCAGGATGTTACAATGGTTTACAAGTCCACGAGGGATGCCGGATTTTGATCCCGTGACCGCGGGATACACCGCGACGGTCGTCAAGTGTGAGGCTGTAAATCGCTTTTTTTTTTTCCAGCGCCGTTTCCAATGGTCGTAAGCCGAGGACTACCAGCTCTTTGTTCATCCCCATCCAGACCGTACTAGCTCCCAAGTTCTCAACCCCAACTCAGGTTTGGCTTGGGTCAAGATGTAAAAAAAACCATCAATGGTGCTGATGCTCCCAATCGGCACCATCGGGAAAATGGCTCACTTTCGCGGCTAATGATTTCCTTTTCACGCTGCTGTGATCGCTTCCTTTGTCCGACTCTTCGCTCTCCGCCTTCTCCACCGTCATCCCTGCTCCACCGGCACCTGCGGTTGGGGTCGGGCCTTCCTCTCCAGGGACGTCGCTTCCTCCTCCGCCCCCTCCGACGGGGTCGATGTCCCCAACTTCGCTGTCGGAGGAGCTCGGTGGCTATAAGGGTAAGGGAGGAGAGAAAGGGACAAAAAGGAGAGTTAGTGACCGGAAAAGTAGCAACGGGAGGCTTCTGGACATCTCAAAGGAGGAATTCAGAGTCAAGATCCTGGCAAAGGAGAAGTAGATTCATGACAGCAGCTGGAAGTGTTGTGGAATGTTTTTCACACCTGGCAAGTTCAAAGTGTGTGGGACATCTACTCCTAGAATTCCTCAACCAGCATGTGTGACCTTCAACTCCCGGAATTCCTTGGCTAGGAAGTTCCCTTCAACTCCCAGAATTCTGTACCTGGGATGT